GGTGTTGACCTTCTTGGCCACCTGGGCATGCTCCCAGCTCATATTCATCTGGCTGTCAACCAGCACTCCCAGGTCACTTTCCGCTGGGCAGCTCTCCAGCCCCTCCTCCCCAAGCCTGTAGTGTTGCATGGGGTTGTTGTGGCCAAAGTGCAGGACTCTGCACTTGGCCTTATTAAACCTCATACAGTTGACCTCAGCCCATTGATCCAGCCTGTCCAGATCCCTCTGCAGAGCCCTCCTACCCTCCAGCAGATCAACACTCCCACCCAGCTTGGTGTCATCTGCAAACTTACTGAGGGAGCACTCAATCCCCAGACTGTTGTGCAGTCTAGCACTGTAGCAAAAGGAGGAGAGCACTTTCAAAGGGCACGTGCTAAAAATGTTTAATTATGAACATTAGGTTTGTTGATTGAAAGATGTAGAGGAAGGAGTTGTGGGTTCTCCCTTTTCTAAATGCTGTGTTACCTGCTTGTAGGCTCCATAAATTGTTCCAAGCAGCATGTATTTGACAGTTACTGTGTTGCTGCATTATGATAATTGCAGTTGCTATTACCCTATGACAAAGATGGAAACTGGAAAGATGAGTCTTTGTTCAGTAATCGGTGAGCTATGAAAAATTACTAAAGGTAAAGAAATTGGCCTTTAACTCCTGTTCCCAGTTTAGTTTAGAAGCTATCAGTACAGTGTAGGTGAAGGGCAGAAACAAGCTGTGCATCCAGGTAGAAATGCACATTAAATGCAGATGCTTTGCGAAGACTTGACCATGGCAGCACAAATATGAATCCAGTTTTGTAAAAGCATATCTTACTGAACTAATGAGGCTATAAATGAGAGCCAACCATTTGGTGCTACTGTTTATCATGATGTTCTGAGTACATTTCCCTTTTCTTTCTTTCTTTCTCATAACACATGACTTAGCTTGAGAAAAGAAGCTGAAATTGCTAGAATAAGTGGACTAGAAGATAGATGTGTACCTTCCTTTTTGTATTTGTCACTAGCGTATTTCTATCTGATTTACTATAGTGATACTCTTTGTAGCTTTTTAAGGACTTTTCCATAGGCCGTAGTAAAAGCCCATCTCTGAGGTCTCTTCCTACCTTCAGGAAAGAATGTGGCATGTGGCTTCAGACCACTGAGTCCCTCCGCATTAAGGCTGGCACTTGAGAAGATCAGTTTTTTGTCCTGCATAGCAGTCTGGATAGAAGACACCTGCAATCTATACTTCTTGACATTACAAGAAGTGTATGGTCATAGCTAGCAGTCTTGCTTCTTACTGAACATTGAGTCAGTCCATCCTAAGGACTTCTTGTAAAACTACTGCTAGTAGTAGAACTAGCAGCCCTTTGCAGTATTATGCAGCTTGATATCCTTCACTGTCAGGCAAAGCATTTTCCTTTCTTGTCATTTTCCACTAAGTGCCGAGAATATTTTTTTTCCTTGTGTTTGCAGCTTTTAGATCTTCACAGATTCTGTTCTTCCACTTTCAGGTGCTCAAATAATACATGCTTAATTCTGACTTCTACATCTGCACCATTGAGTTGTCTCCATCTGATAACCCATTATGCACCATGTTGAAAATACAAGCTTTCAAACTGACAGCAGTTGGCAGTAGGCTCTATAGCTTGCACAAATTGCAATAACTGAACTTTCAAGGTCTTTGGAGGAAAAAAACAATGGCACTGAAAATAAAAGTTTAGCATTGATGGTTTTAATAGGTCATCATATGGATGAGTGAATTGCATTACTGTATGTTGCACTACTGGAAAACCCTTCAGAAATTAACACACATGCTATTTCTTTCCATTTTGTCTTTGCAGAAGGAAAGGTTCCAGTAAATGGGAGCCCAGAAGCTTATTGGAGAAGCTGCGCTGGGTGACCCTTGGTTACCATTATAACTGGGATACTAAGGTATTGAAATTAAATTCTTCTCCATTTTTCTTAGCTGTAAGCACTCAGAATGGCAGACAGAGGAGGGTATCATGGAACAAAATGCCTATGATCCTACAAGACAGCCTTGAGGAAAGGCTGTAGCAAACCTGCTTGTAAGAATATTTCAATCTGTATTAGTTACTGTGAAGAATTTAACAGCAAAAGTCCATTGCTGTGTTCTTTCCTTTGAAAGGTAACATGGTAGCATATACTGAGTTCTAGACCTGTGACTCTATTTTGGGGTAAGTGAGCATACCTTACTCTACCAAAAGGGATGGTCACAAAAGCATCGTTAACCGCTTAAGGTGAGAATGACCTTGAGTGCTTGAAGACAGCTGCTTCTGAGAAACTACTCCTCTGCAGAGGGGTGAGCGAGAGCAGGAAGAAACTGCTGCTGATGTGACTTTGAACATAAGAGTCTGAAACCAGTATAGTACAATCTCACCAACTAACAGCTATTTTGGGACTACTGATCAAAATAAGCTTTTTCATAAGACAGAGTCAGATAGAGGCTGGGAAGGATGGAAGAGTGAATATGCAGTCTTACCAGTATATTGCAGATACTTAACCAAATCTGCTTGCAGCCTTGTATTTACCAGGTCAACCTATTATTGGGTGGCCTTAAGAAAACCTTGGTTATTCCCTTCTAGTTCTCTCAGAATCACTCATGGGAGAGAAAAAGTAGGTTTGCAATTGATTCCTGTTTGTCTTATCCTTCAAAAAAGGAACAAAGATGCTTGTTTCAGAGCTCTGTTGATGAGATTCAGAACTGTCTTTCCATTGGAGCTTTAGGTAGTGACCAAGTAGATCCTCAGGATATTGGTGCTAATCTTACTGACTTCAAGTTTGCCATCCAGATATAATGGTTAACTCCACAATGTTGTGGAGTTGAATTGAATCTCTGGCAGTCTCAGCATAGGCCCAGAATTAAATGATAAGAGGTAAACTTAGTGTAGTTCTGCCTATGTTGTAGTCATTTTCTAGGCAAATATGATGTCCTTTTCCATGACTACCAGCCAAACTTCTGAGTTCTCATTCAGTGTTTGTTTCCAACTGTATTCGCTGCTCTGATGTTCTGGGTGTGGTTTGTTTTTTTTTTTTCTGCTCTCCTTCCTCTAGAAGTACTCAGCAAATCACCACACTCCTTTCCCCTCAGACCTTGCATTCCTGTCAGAACAAGTGGCTGCAGCCTGTGGGTTCCAGGGTTTCCAAGCCCAAGCAGGGATCTTGAACTACTATCATTTTGACTCTTCACTGGGAATTCATGTGGATGAGTCTGAACTAGACCATTCTCGGCCCCTTTTATCATTCAGGTGAGTCAAGGAAAGCATTTGAGTGTTGTGGAAGGATTGGTGGCTTTTATTTTTTCTATGGTTGCACATGGTTATAGGAAGTCGCTATGATGTAGCAACTAATTGGGTATACAATCTTCACTCTCTGAAGACTTGAATAGTAGGAAGCTGTAGCTCAAGGGCATAGGTTTTTCTTTGAAGACTGCTTGAGTAACATGGATGTGGTGCCTGGAGTGGAAGAGCTATTTGCACAGAGCACAGCTCTGTTCTAAAGCAGCAGAGGGGCAACTGGGTACTAGCAGGCAAGGATGAAATACCTCAGCAGGTCTTCCTTCAAACCTGGCAGGGCAACTGCTCACACTATGCCTACCTTGAATCAGGCCTCTTAGTCTGTTTTCCGTGTTCTCACTGTAAAGTTGTTCCAGGAGTCTGTCTGGTTTCCTGGTTTGTTTGTTTTTCATAAAGGGATTTAGCTGCTAATATTTTCTTACTGTACATATAGTTGTCCTCTACCTGAATTTGTTTTCTCTTCTCTCTCTCCATCCTCATACCATCTCTAGTTTTGGGCAATCCTCAATATTTTTGCTTGGGGGCCTGAAGCGGGAGGAAGCCCCAACAGCAATGTTCATGCACAGTGGAGATATCATGGTGATGTCTGGCTTCAGCCGTCTGCTGTACCATGCTGTCCCCCGAGTCCTCCCTAATCCTGAAGGGACAGCTTTGCCTTCCTGCCTGGACCAAACACTTTCTTCAGACCTTCCTGTTGGCTCAGTCATTGAGCCCAGCTCTGATGAGGATTGGCAGGTCTGTGCCAAGTACTTGCAGTCTTCCCGCATTAATATGACTATTCGGCAGGTGTTGACTGAGGGTCAGAAATTTCCAGAGGAATCTGGGACAAACAGAAACATCCAAGAACCCTCCGAAGACAGTCACCATCAGGAGAACAGCAGAGCCAAGAGACAAAAACCAAATACAGACAGCTGAGACCAGGAGATCTTGCTAACAGGGACCGGACAGGCAACCTCCATATGGAATTGGGAAGTAATGTAATCGTACTAGAAGTCACTTGTCTGTATTGGGATTAATAAACTTGCAGGATAAGTGTACTCTTTGCTGTAAGAAATAGGTTGGGGGAGAAAAAGAATTTAAAAGGAAAAGAAGGATAAGTTCAGGACTGGGACTCAGGAGATTAACTCTGTTGCCCTTCTGTTGCAGATGTTTACTGCACTTGGTTCCCTTCAAAATACCTGTACGTCGGAGAATTTTATGCTTGGTTCAGTGATTCTTATAAAGTATTTTGAAATCATTGGGCAGAAAGTGCTAGCAAAATATACACAATTACTATGTGCTAAAGAATCCTATTGGGCTTGTAAAGCTCCACTGAAGTGCAGTAACAAGCACGCCTGAGAAAAGGCTGCTATGGGTGTGAGACCTACCTGCAACATTTCCAAGAGAATTGCCTCTTCAGCAAAAATTGGTTCAGTGACCAGAAATGAGCAGCTCCCTCAGGCAACACCTGCTGTAAGATTGCTGTAGTCCTCTGCTCTCCTTTTGCCTGCTTGCACTCCCTCAGCTGCAGCAAAAAACTGCTCTTGTGAGTGGAACTGGACTTTTTTTGCATACCTCAGATCTTAGAGAGAAACAATTGGGGGCAATATCTACTTAGAATATCAGCTCCCAGCTGGGTCTCCTCCCAACAGTAAGTTTGTGACTGAGCCCTACATCCCCACTCTTTCAAAACTGCCTCCTCTTAAGTGCTTGCAGATTATGGTCCTCCAGCCCCAAGCTAGCATCTTTAAGGAACAGAATGACTTGCAAGTAGAAGCAATGAAGTTATAAATTAGGTACCTAAAAAATTAATCAGTGACTATCTCTGTCACCCAAAGATAAATATATTGAAACAAAGAAAAGCAGTGGCTTTTGTACCAGTTCAACCTTCCTATCTGCTTTTTAATGCAATTTTAATTGTTGGAGTGGAATGCACTATCTATCCCTGGGGTATTTTGTTGCACTTTCCAAATGAATAAACTTACTCGGTTTTTAAATTAAAGATCTCTATCGGTTTTGGGCTGGCTTTTTTCTTCTTTTCTTTTTCTTGCTGTTAGTTATTTCAGTGTATTGTTAATGCTGCCACATCCCTTATGCTATTCCCTCCAGGCTTCTTTCGGATCTACTGCCTCTGCCATCTGCCAGCTCCAGTGGAGGAGCCCTGCATATGTCTGCAGGGCTACTTTGCTTATGGGCAGTTCAGGGTTTGTTGGGCAGTTTCAGAGAAGTGTTTCCTGCAGTGTCAAATCCAATTTAATATGTATGTGGCAGCTTTTCCTTCTGGGGAAAGTGTGTCTGGTCTGCTTATTTCATAGCAGGTGAATGTATGTACGTGTGCAATTAATTTATTTTACAATACTGCAAAGAGCTCCAGTAATTTAATGTCTAAAATAATCAGATGTGAGTTTTAATATCTTATTCTATGCCAGAAATGTGTCCGTTCTATATCCTAGGCCTGGTGTATTTACAGCTGAGCCTTGGGAGAGTGAACACTATTATGCAGAGAGGTTACAACATGACCAGAAAGGAAAGTTGACTGAGTAAGTTTCAGAAAACAGCAAAGCTCCCTTAGTGGCACCAGAAGGTGGGGAAGGGGAGAGTAATATTTGTTTTCCTGACAGTGAGAAGGCAGACTGTCCTTCACTCTTGAGAGGGAAGCAAAGATGTGCCAACTCACTCAGCACTGAAGACGACAGAAGACAGAGTGTTGGAACTAGATGGCTGTGAACTGGAACTGGTTTCTTCATGTTGCTGACTGAGGTTGGAAAAGACCTTTAAGATCATAAAGTCCAACTATCAACCCAACACCACCATGCCCACTAAACCATGTCCTGAAGTGCCACGTCTACATGTTTTTTGAACACTTCCAGTGATGGTGACTCCACCACCTCCCTGGGCAGCCTGTTCCAATGCTTGACCACTCTCGGTGAATAAATTTTTCCTGATATCCAATCTAAACCGCCCCTGGCGCAACTTGAGGCCATTTCCTCTCATCCTGTCACTAGTTACTTGGGAGAAGAGACCAACACCCACCTTGCCACAACCCCCTTTCAGGTAGTTTTAGAGAGCGATAAGATCTCCCCTCAGCCTTCTCCAGACTGAACAATCCCAGCTCCCTCAGCTGCTCCTTGTAAGACTTGTTCTCCAGAGCCCTCACCAGCTTCATTGACCTTTGGACACACTCCAGCACCTCAACATCCTTCTTGTAGTGAGGGGCCCAACACTGAACACAGGATTCGAGGTGCGGCCTCACCAGTGCCGAGTGCAGGGGCACGATCACTGCCCTACTCCTGCTGGCCACACTTGTTTAGGTTTGTGATGACACAACAGGATTTTTCATAGCACTGATCAAATGTTTGTATCTATAGGTACCACAAATATTTGCTTGTTTTCATATAGGTGCATGCTGAGATAATCTCTGTAGCTTTTAATTCCTCTAAAAGATAAGTACTGCCCAAGGGCCACAAGCACAAAATTGCATCAGTGGCATAGGCAGCAGTCTTCTAAGATGTCCTGCTGTGTACAGCTGAGGGGAGGGAAAGAAGAGGTCATCTGGACCAATTCTGCAAGAAAATTAATGAGTTGATTACAGGAAGATAATCATGTGTTTACTTCAAGGCCACCTGGAAATGAAGCATGTTGTTTACCACATGTACTCTATTCATTATGTGATCTATAGGTAAAGCTAACTATCCAACAGTTAAGAGTAAAGGGAAAATAAAATCTCCAGTTAAATCAGAATTAAAGCACAGTGGGATGAATACTGGAAGCAGAAGAGGAAACTTCTGTACAAACTTAAAATTTTCAGTCCTCTTGAGACTACTGTGCTAGAGAAGTTCAGTGTTACAAACCAGACTGTTGGCTAGTGCCCAAGCCAGATGTACTGCATGCCCTCTGCATGCCAACCAGGCAGTAACTTACGGGCAAAGCAGTCCCTAGAGCTGTGCCTGCTGCCGGAATGATTCAGATCTCAGGTATTTTTCCTTTCTTTGAGAGCTTGCTGATGTTTTTTCCTTACTGTTCCACATCAGATATTTCTACAGATAGTAGTAAGGTGCACCTAAGCTCCTCTACTTATGCTATGTGCTCTGCTGAGCTAGTAGGTAGGGAGAAGCTAGTAGCTAGGGAAGAAACTAGTAGGTAGGGAATACCCAGACAGCAGCACTGCCTTGGCTACAGGTCCAGGTTGAAGCCAGCTTGCATTTTACAGAGTGCAAATAAGAGCTTGGATCTGTCTTCATCTATTTATGTAAGTCTTTCTCATTCTCTGCACCTGAAGTAGGATAGATTTAGCATGGAAAAGAGACTTCTTGGTGACAAGAATGTCTTCCACTTAATTGGGATGCAAAATTAATTGAGCTATAATCCAGTATGCTCTAGGCATACTTTAGTTCTGATGAAATCATAAAACTTGCCTGGGTCTGAACACATTACCTCAAAAAGTTAACAGAAGTACATGGACTGCAGAAATTAATGATCCAGAAAAATAAGTTGCTGGAGGCCTCAAAAGACCCATATATAAAAGGTCTTCTTTTGAATAATCTCTATGCCAGAAGAGACTTTGAGAGAAGAACAGGGACAGTCATCCACAGCCTGCTGATGCCTCTGTAAATCCTAATAACCAAAGCTGGTTGAAAACAATCTGTAGCGTAACACTACGGATCTGGTACAAGAGGCACAAAATGTGGGGCTGACACAAATTTAGCACAATAAAAAATAAGTTCTGCTATTTATATTTAGCAAATGATAATCACAAATACAAATCATAAAACCATTTTTCTGTAGAAAGAATTGAACACTGACTAAAAATATCTTCGCATATGCTCTGGTAAACTTGAGGTGAAGCAAAAGTTGCCACTGTGCAAGTTACAGCTTAGCTCATACGAGCTGTTTCCTTGCATCATCTTCTGGTATCTGTAGTCAAAGGACCGCAGAAATGGTAGTTGAAGGGACCTCTGGAGGTGTCTCGTCCACCCTCCCCCTGGGAATAGTGCCGTTGCCAACAGGTTACCCACATGAAACCTCCACGATGGAGACTCCACCATTTCTTTCAGTAACCTGTGCCAGTGCTCACCTTATGAAGAAATTTTGCCTTATGTCCTGCCTCAAGTTTCCCAAAATACTGCTTTTAACCATTCCCTCTGCCTTTTTCTTACCATCTGTTACTATCAAGAGTTTGGTTCCACTGTCTTTGTAACTCTCATTCAAGTAACTGCAGTCTACAGTTAGATCCACTCCCCCTTAGTCTCCTCTGTGCCACATGAAAGGACTCCAGGACCCACATCATTTCCCCATAGATCATATGCCTTGGGCCCCTGACTTTCCTCGCTAGCCCTCTTCAGAACCTTTTCCGTTTCCAGGCAGGACAGCACTCTCTCTGCTAGTGCTGGTTTCTGTTACAAATGGGATGCGAAGGACAAACGGAGTACTGAATCCTAGTTCCTAAACCTGCTAGATCCACCAGATCCACTTAAATTCACTGGATCTTAGGCTGTGCGGTGTTGGTTTGTTGGGGGTTTTTTTACAGTGTTTCCTAAATAATTTTTTCCTCCCATCTACATCACAATAAAACAAAAGCAGTAGTTTTGTGAGGTGCAGAATGAATGTACCATGGTTCCCTATGGATTTATGTTCCTGAAAAATTGTGCACTCTCACTGAAGCTTTTCTTCCAGCTGAGCATTTATAAGTGATTTTTCCCATGAGATCTCTCCAGTGTTTATTTCATGCACGGTGCACCCTTTTCCTGAATCAGGGTATTTATAGGGTCCCTCTCCTCTAACTGTCTGCCTACTAAACCTGCAGGAACTTAATTAGCTGTGAAATTTATGCCATCACTCAAATCTAACTGAAATAGACCGACAGGTTTCAAAATTACTGGACAGGAATGTGAGGGCACACAGAGTTTAACACATGCACAAACCATGAGAACATAAGC